ACATGTTTTTTGGAGACATCCATTTCAACTAAAATACGAGCCTCAGAGGGCCTAGAGCCAGAAGCCGTGGCCAAATCGGATTTCAGAGGCCGACCAAAGAGCGAACCTAAGCCAAAGAGAATCCTAGGTGAAAATAAATGAGGTCTCAGAAGGGGAAAAGAGACCCAGATTGGCACAATAGGGGAATCAACTTCAACATCCAAAATGGGAGACCATTTAACCACTTTCATGAAACAATTTTTAACAAAGTAAGATCTATGTGAAAAAATTCTACAATAATCAAAATCGTTCACAATTTTCACTCTTTACTTGTTAATGAACTTAGGTGAATAGAGGAGAGCTTTGTAGTGGTATAAAAAGAAAACTAGAATAAGGTTTTGATGGGCCTTGAAGATTAGTTTATGATTTTATTTGTGGAGGTAGGCCTTAATTTTCACTATAAGAAAAATGTCAATTATCGACAAAATTTTTTGTTGGAATTTTTACTCAGACATTCCGACCAATTTTCAATTGAATTTAAATTTTCTAAAAAAAAAATTTATAATAAATATTTATAAATTAAATTAATAGTTCTAATATTTTTATTAAGTTAAATTAATTAGTTTAAATTGACTAATTAACTAATTTAATAAGTAAATTTAGAAATAATTTCCAACCACCTTTCATTTTTCTAGCTACAATTTTCGCAAGAAATCCGATTAAAATGTTTTCGGTGTATTATTTCTAGCAAAAATTTGCTGGAAATATTTCTGACATTTTTTTTTTTCACCAATGTTTGTTTTTCAGCAAGTGGTTTACTGGCAAAAAATCTTCAGTTAGAAATTTGCTGGAAATACCATAGGTAGAAAGATTTTAGTCATTTTTCAGCGAAAAAGAACCGCCACAAAATGCCATTTTTGCTGTAATGTTTGTTGATTAAGAGGAATGACCAATGGTGGAAGTGTATTAGGGTTGATGATGTTGGGTAGAAAGGATGGTAGTTAATAGTGTAAGAAATTCCTTAATGAGAGGTTAAATAAGCTATATGTAAAAAGGATTATATTTTAGGGCTTTAGTGTAGACAATGGAGAGTGGAAAGAGTGGATTGATGTGAATTATTTTGCAGTGTTTCTTGAGTTAAGAATGGTTGCAAGAGCAGCTAAGGTTGAGGGGGAGAGTTTAGAATGGAAATATGTAGTTTTACAAAAGAGAAGAACCTTGGATTTTTCATAGCAATAAGGCTTGGATTAGCCACCAAACGTCTCTAAGGTGGATTTGCTAAGAAGAAAAACTTGAACATTCATTAAATAATCCTTTAAAAAGGGTATAAGAGCTGGTTATAAAGGAAAATAATGCAAAGATATATCAAATTTTTTAGATAATTTCTTCCTTGCCTTCTTAGGAAGGAGAGTGATCTTGACTTGCAATCAATCTTCTAATCTAATTTGGAGGGGATAACCAAGGAAATTTAGAGCGATTTTTTCAAGTTATTTTCCCACTCTTTTGCCAAGGTAAAATCTCTGCAGGATGGCTTAAGCTTTAGAAAAAAGATTGAGTGGTGCTTATATTTGTGCATGTGTTGACCTTAACCATATAGTTTGATAAAAGATTAGGCCACTATTAACCAACTCAAACTTCATTAATCTATCATCAACACCTTATTAATTTGCATGAAAATATTTAGCAAATTCGGAAAAAATATTAAGTTTTGCATATAATTTTTTATTTATTTTTCTCTAGCTTACAACATTAACATAATCAGAACAATTCTTCGCACACTTATCTTTTCTATTATTTATTTTTTTTTTTCTAATGCATGTGCTATAAAAAGGAAATATAATGCACAAGATGGTTGGCCAGTGCCATGCTAATATCATATATCTCCTTTGAGTTTAGCTAATTTCGTATTTAACTCCTGAGATTTGTTCAAAATATCAAACATCTTTCTAAACTTAACTTCTGTCTCAAATATCCGTTAAATTAGAGGTGAAGTTAGTCATTTGATAGCTAAAAATAAATAAATACAAAGACCTAATTCTCCAACACTATCTCTTTACAGTTTAATTTTTTTTAATTTATTTGTTATTATTTTTTTATTATTTTTATAAGACAAGTTCAAGATTTTCACAAATTATTATTACTATGAAAACTCTTAGTTTAGAAGATTGTTAATATTATGGTCTTTCTGAGATGGCTATAATATTTTACAAAATCAATTTAATGCTGTTATGAAGAAAATAATTTTTGTAAAAGTTGTTATGAAAATTGTAAATATTTTTAATTAAAACAAACACTTTTTGTAAAATTGCCACGTACACGTTAGCAACTATGCATAGGTAGATTTAGAGAAAGATTGCAATATTTAAATTTAAATTAATTAGCTTAAAATATGCTTATTATAATTTTTAATATATTTTTTATTAATAAGATATAACTTTTTTATATATTTACTGCTCATTATAAAATATTTTTAAATTATTTTTTTTAAATTATATATGAAAATGTACTTTAAAAAATAGTTAAATTAAATAAGCATGATAACATTAAAAAAATAAAAAATAAAAAATGATAACATATAGTTCAAATAAATTTGTGTTGAAATTTATTTAGATGAGCATGACAAGAAATATTTTCATTATTATAAAATTTATCTTTTTATAACAATTATAATAAAAAAAAATTAAAACCCTAATGTCAATTTCAAGCTCAAATGAAAAAATTTGATGGTACCATTAAATTAGAATTTTGTGCTCTCACAGATAAATAATTCTGGCTCCGCCATTGAACTATGATTGTAAAAAAATAATTCTTATCATATTTTCTTTAAAAAAATAATGATAAAGAAGCAAAAACTTAGCATTCAAATAAAACTATTGATGTTGCCTAAAGATTAACTTATCCTTTAGAAATATATTATAAAATAACACCATCTAATTAAAATGATAAATTTTTAGATTATGTTTATTTTAATGAGTGAGCCATTTTTTTTGTTCCTGTGAAGGTGTGAAAGCCCATAACCAATCACTAAAATGTCTCCAAAATTTTCATTTTCTTGTTATGTCTCTTTCATGAAATATTTCTTCTCGCGGATGTTGTCAAGAATTCAACGGTCTTTAAGGAATAATGAAAAAAAAAAACTCTGGTTAAGATTATTATAAATTTTAAATATACAAATTTATTTGTAAATAAACCAAATGTAAAATTTATTGATCAGTTACATATTTTATTCATCTTAACACAAAAATAATTTAATTATATTTAATAAAAATAGTATGGCCCTACTTTTCTGAAAAAAATTACTTTAAATCTTGTATATTTCAATAAATACATTTCAAAAAATTATTTTAAATAAAATATCTCAATACTATTAAAACTAAAACGAGCAGGCAGCAATTACAAAAAAAAAATGTCTTAAAAAGAAATTATATCAAAACTTTTTGATTATATATATATATATATATATATAAAGATTTAATTCAAATTAAAATTAATATAATATTACAAAATAATCAATAAAGATATATTCTAATCAATAAAGATTTAATTCAAAATATTATATATTTATTACATTTATTTTAATATACATATAAAAATTCTACGGATATACTAATCAAAATTTTAATCATAATATTTTGATAGCAATTTTTATCTTATATCTTACTAAAAAAATTTAATTCAAAAAATATTTTTATTTATATTTACATAAATAAAGGTATTTTAAAATGAATATTAATCCAAGAAGAGTGAAATTATTCTATGTGTATCCTGACGGTCAGGAGGCCCATGTCATATATTTGTTATGTTCCTGGTGATTTGATCCAATGTCCGCTCCGGTATATGAACAAGTCAAAATTCTCCATTTTCTTAAAGTAAAATAACATAGCTAAAATTTTCTATTTTCTCCTCTTGAAAATGAGAGGAGCCATCCGAAAGCTTTCCTTTGCGTAGCTTTCAGAGTAGGAAAATAGCGCAACTTTTTTGGTCGTCGAAATCAAATCACTTCAAGGGTCTTCCATCATTTCTCCTTATTTATTTTCTCACTCTCATGTACTTTGAGACTTGGTTCCATAAGTTTCCCTTTATTATTTTACATTCATATGCAATTTTTCCTTAAGAATTATATAAAATTTTCCATAAACACAATATCATAAAAATTCATTATGAAATGACACATTGTTATTTTTAAGAAGATTGAAGTTATATACTATCAGATTTACAAAATTTAAATGATAAAGTCAATAATCTCATAATATTTATAGTGAATTAATAAAAATCCCATCAAAGCATCAAGGTTTTCTTTGGCATGACTTCTTTACTATTTAATTCACTTTTCATACTACAATCACATTTTAATCTAAAAAATTATTTTTTACAATAATTTTTAAAAAATTATTGTCTCATAACAACAATCCAACCGGATCTTAACTCGATAAGTATAAACTCTACTACAATTTTCAATCCACATGATCACGCCAGAATGAAAAAAATTGTGTTAGACACATATTATGAATTATATCAAGATGAATTTAAAATTTATTAAATTTATTTTAAATTTAAAAATATTTACGGAGAATTTATATTTTAATAATCTACAAAATAATACAGAGGCTTGTAAGGAATCTAAGAAAGTTATTTGCGATGCAAAAAAATTTGCTTTTAATGATTTATATAATAGATTAGATACTAAGGAGGGAGAAAGATATATGTATAAGTTAGCCAACACTACTAAAAACTCAGGCTTTCGCAGCACTTTTTAGGGCCTATTGCAGCGGTTTAAACACCTGCTAATTTATTTGCAGCGGTTTAAAAACCGCTGCAAAACCGTCATATCTGCGTTCGCTGGAAAGGCTATAGCAGCGGTTTTATAAGTGCTGCTGTATGAAGGCTTTAGCAGCGCTTTTAACAGGTGTTAAAACCGCTGCTAAATTGTAGAATAAATTAAAAAAATATATATATAATGAAAAAAAAAATCAAATTTTGTGATCAAATTATAAATTATAACACAAGATTTCACTCAAATATATATGAAGCATAACTCATCATGCAATTTTTTATTGAAAGAGGAACTTAATGCTTAGCTTTACACAAATCAAAAGTGGAAGTTGTATTTGAGGAATTATAGAAAAGAACAGTGTAATACATCAACACTACTGTATAAGCTTCTAAGCAATGAAAGCATCTGATGGTTTCTCCTCTCCAGTTATTCGCAGCTTTTCTCTGTGAATACATTCTATGTTTTATCTGTTTCTTGTTATTTTATAATATTTATACAAATCATATATATGTTGTGAATGATTGTTCAAACGTGTTATGCCTAGATTATATAAGAAAATCTATATAATGTTAGGTCTAAGCTAGAAAACAGAGAGAATCATTACTGGAAATTGAGAATACCTGAGAGAGAATGATTGGACCACCCTAAGATTCGAAGAGCCCTTCATCTTTTAGCTTTCATCATTGAGACTATCTTCTCAGTGAATTTTTGCATAATAAAATAGAATCAAAAGTTTATAATTAACAGGAAGATGATAAATTAATCCCAAAAATAAAGACAGATCGATATGAAGCAAATCGTAAACTTGAAAGGCCCATTGTCAGTTCTGAAATTGATGCCAGGAACATATTTTAACCAAACTGGAAAACCACTGCAAAGATAACAACCAGGAGTTCAGAAAAGAATCAAGCAAAGAAAACATTCATCTATATTAATCAGAAAAAGAGAAAAAAAACTTTACCCAAAATTCCATTCAGCACAAACATAGGGACCAATGGCGGAGATGAACATAAAGGTCAGCCTACTTCACCTACTTTATAAACCGAACAAGGGCATACTTTTCTCCAAAGTAGTACTACAATCAATTTACAGAAACCAAAACTCATAAAAAAATATATCAAAACCAAGCAAGAAACAAGCAGGTATAAGTCATGTGCAAGTGAACCATCGGTGTTGCTAATGGAGCCATTGAGAAGTATCGCCTCCTAAAAAATGCTGAGTTTTGAGGAAAATAATGAACTCGTTTCTTTTCCAAATAAGGAAGAGCAGTGGTTTCTGAAAGTTAAAAGTCCTTACATCCCTTGTAAACTTTCCTCCCTCTATCCGCCAGCAACGGGACGTCAGGATCGGGATGGGATCGGAACGGCAGGATTCGTCGCGGAGGATCTTCGGGACGGCAGGATTCATCGGGACAGCAGGATCAGGACGGGATGGGTGGCTTCGCCGTCGGGGCTGGCTGATTCGGCATGGATGTTCGTCGAATGGAGGTCTGGGTGATTCAGCGCGGAGGATCGTCGGATAGAGATTTGACGTGAAGAATAAAGTCGGCTAGGGCACGAAAGTAGGAGATGGAATGGAGCTTTGTGAGGCCTGTTTAGCCTGCGGTTTGAAAACCACTGTTATAAAATATTTTGATAACTTAAATTTTATTATAGTGAATTTAGCAGCGGTTAAAACTGCTGTCTATATCTATCTTTAGCAGCGGTTTTAAAACCGCTGTTATAAAATGCTGCAAAAATATGAACTTTTTGGTAGTGCAAATGAAGAGATAAGAGTAGTAAGGATTTAGTTCAAATGAAGTGTATTAAGGATGAAGATAAAAAACTGTTTTTCTTATAAAATGATATTCAACAAAGATGGATAAGGTTTTTTGCTAAACTTTTTATTGAAAAATGTGATAATATGATTGACTTTAGTGACCTTATCACCCTAAATGAAAATAAAGATTTTTATTTTTATCGGCGTATAAGTAAAATCGAAGTTAGAGAGGCTTTAAAGAAAATGAAGTGCGGAAAAGCTGTTGGACCTGATAATATTCCAATTGAGATAAGGAAATGCTTAGGAGATGAAGGAATTTCTTGGCTTACTAAATTTTTTAATACTATTTTGAAGACTAAAAAGATGTAAGATCAATGGAGAATGAGTGTGTTAATTCCTATTTTTAAGAATAAAGGTGATGCACAGAAGTGTGCGAATTATAGAGGAATTAAGTTAATATGTCATACTTTAAAACTATGGTAGCGAGTTATGGAGCATAGGTTAAGGCGTGATACTAATGTTTCTCAAAATCAATTTGGATTCATGCCGGGTAGGTCTACTAAGGAAGCCATACATTTATTGAGAGGTTTGATGGAGAAATATAGAGAGAATAAGGAGGATCTACATATGATATTTATTGATTTAGAGAAAGCATATGACAAAGTTCCAAGAGAAGTGCTATGGAAAGTTCTTGAAAAGAAAGGAGTTAATAATGCTTATATTCAAATCATTAAAGATATGTATGCATGAGCTATTACTTGTGTTCAAACACAAGGTGGTTTGACCAAGTATTTTTCTATTTCGGGGATTGACCAAGTATTTCCCTATTTCGGTTGGGTTACATCAAGGATCAGCCTTAAGCCCATATCTTTTTGCTTTAGTCATGGATATTCTCACTAGACATTTGCAAGAGAATGTACCTTAGTGTATGCTTTTTGCTGATGATATTCTTCTTGTTAATAAGACTAGAAAGGGAGTCGAAGGTAAACTTGAATTATGGAGGTCAACCTTAGAGTCTAAAGGTTTTCGCTTGAGTAGATCTAAAACGGAATATATGGAGTGTAATTTTAGTAGTAATAGACCTAGTGAGGGGATTGTGACTTTGGGCGATCAAGTCATTAATAAGAGTACATGTTTTAGATATCTTGGATCTATTGTTCAGAGTGATGGTGAAATTGATGGGGATATTATCAGCATAATTTAAGTTGGATGGTTGAAGTGGAGGAATGCATCGGGCTTATTGTGCGATAGAAAAGTCCCCCTCAAACTTAAGGGAAAATTCTATAAGATGGTGGTGAGACCTGCAATGCTTTATGGTGTCGAATGTTGGCCATTAAAAGAGAAGCATAATACTAAGTTAAGTGTTGCAGAGATGAGGATGCTTAGGTGGATGAGTGGCTTGGCCCTTAGAGATAGGATACGAAATGAGCATATACGTGAAAAGGTTGGAGTATCTCCAGTGGAAGATAAGATTAGAGAGAGTCGCCTTAGATGGTTTGGTCACATTAAACGAAGACCTTCCAATGACCCGGTTAGGAAAATTGATGTATTAGATTTGGCTTATGTTAAAAAAGGTAGTTGTAGACCTAAAAAGACTTGGTTAGAAAATATTAGAAATGATATTCGGACACGATGGCGAAAAATGATTCATGTAGCCGACCCCACGTAGTGGGACAAAGGCTTGATGTTGTTGTTGTTGAATCTACAAAATAATACAATAATTTTTAAACTTTAATATAATAGAGCATAGGCCCAACTATCTTCTATTTTAAGTATGAGGAAATTTATCATATAAATAAATTAATATTAAAAAAAGTAAAAACATATAATTCTGAACAAAATTTTATATTTTATTATAATTTAAAATGAGTAATTCTTATAAACTTAACAACCAAAATAGAATTTGTGGTAAATTTATCAAAATAATCTTTTTAATTTTGCAAAATTATAATTTTGAGGGTCAACAAAACGTAATTCCGTCTCTATAAATGAATATTGTGGCTCAATTTTTTTCAGTTACCTAAAGTTCTAATTTTGTGGTTCGTTAAAATTTTTTGGGAATGAGGTATCAACGAGCTGCCACCCCCTTAAGAGGCTCATCATTTATACAATCTAACTGGTGGTACATTTAAGTTGGTTAAATAAGGAACAAAAAATTTAGACTAAATGAATCTAATTAAATTTAATCAAATTATCTTAAAATCATAAGATTTATTTTGATGACTTTAATCTATAAAAATTTAATTAGAAATTATATTACATTTATATTAAAAATATTAAATATAAGTTTAATAAATATTATTAAATTTATTTTCATATAAATCTAAAGACATCACAATCTGTCATTTTTTTTAGTAACATATATTCAACGAAATAATTATATTTGAAGTGAGAGAAAGAAAGAAGATTTACCCTCTAAAATAAACGCTATTTTAAAAAAATTACATTAGCCTCTTATTTAATTTTTTTACAGCCTATTTAGCACTGCCTCATAAGTAGTGTATTACTATGTTCATTACTTTTATACTTTATATAACGTAATTATTTCAAACTCCGCCTCCTTTTCTACCTTGCTCTTAGCTCCGCCGCAACGCGCACTCCCTATCCAAGGGCTCTAACGAAACCACGTGTCCACCGCTAGAGACATCCACGTCATCCAACCACGAACGCGATCTCCTCCCGGACTTGAATCTCTTCATCCCTTGCAGTTCCGGCACCGCCGAATCCACCGTCTTCCTCTCCTCCTCGCCGGAGAAGTTCGTAGTGCAACTAACGTCGTTTTCGAACTCGCCGGAAACTGCCGGATATACACCGGCGAATCCAAAAAGCATCGCCAAGTTCGCCCAGCACCCCACCCCTTTTACCAGCTCCGCCTCACCAACACCAACTGAACTACGACGGCCGAGCTCCTTTTCTCCCTCCGATAGAACACTACCGAAGCAGGAAACCTTCGGAGATCCGGGATCCAGAACTGCTGGCTTCCTCTCTATCGAATAGTTCAAAGGGAAGATCCGAGGGGTCGGTAGCGGGCGAGATACGTTGCCGTGGAAAGTGGAGTTAGGGAGGCCGAGGATCGGACCATTCGGCGGCTTGATGGATCCGCCGGCGTTTAGCCTCTGTAAGCAAGATTTGGGCTTGGAGGTACTCCGGCATGATTTAGGGTTAGCGTTTCCGATAGTGGATGGTCCTCGATCGAGGACTTTGTTTAGTTTGATCCAACGGAGAACGTCGCCCATTGGTACCTGGACGGATTCCGGAGGGAGGTCGGGATCTTCAAGTATCGGATCATCGGAGGAGACGAAGAGTTTTGATTCGCAGGCTCCTCTGCCGCAGAAGAGGTTTTCTAGGTCGACCGGTGCCATTGAGAAAGGCAGTGTGGAGGGTGGTGAAGAGAAGGTGTGAGAGCCAACGACTTTATAGAATGGAATAAAAAAAATTTTCCTCGCTTTGTTTTGAAAAATTAATGTGTTTTAAGTGAATTTACAAACATACCGTTAAATAGCGTTATATTTACATATGCTATATCTAATTTTTTGTATTTATTTATCTAAATTTTTTACTTCATCGTGGATGACATGTCAACTTTGAATAGCTTTATATTAGAGATATTTTTAGTATTATTTAAAAATTTAAATATTATATAAATAAATATAAAATTTTTATAATATTCATATAAATCCTCCGTATTTTTATCTATAAAAATAAATATAAAATAGTAAAAGTATGTAAAATTTTTTAAACACGTTATGATTAAAATTTAAATAAAATAACATGAACTTACAAAGAAAATGAATTAAAATATATTAATCAAGTTTTTGTCATAATACGCCTCATAGTTATTGTTGCGAGCTAGAATATACACAGTGATAGAGTTATGATCTTACATCTTAGCGTTGCACGGATATCCAGCTCACACATAGAGAGAACACAAGATTTTTATGTGGAAAATTCTGGAAAAGAGAAAAACCATGAGGCATAGCCCAGTTGAAAATGATTAAACTAGAATTTGAGTAGGTTATAGTGGGCTGACTCGCCCCCGAGGTTGAAGTCAGTGGTGAATAAAAGTCTGACATCACTTTGATGGTCTGGCGGAACTTCAAGGGTCACCCCGTGATTTGACAGAATTCTGGTATCGCTTGGAAGTTCGGGTGTCATTTAGTAGAACCCTAGTGTCCGTAGGTGGCTCGAAAGAACTCTAGGCACTAGGTGGTGGTCCGGTGATGCTCAGGGCCTCAAGTGATGGTCTGACAGAAGTTCGGACCTCAGGTGGTGGTTCAGTGTAACTCAGGACCTCACGTGATGGTCCGGTGGAATTTAGGGCTTCAGGTGGTGGTCTGGTTGAGCTTAAGGCCTCAAGTGGTGATCCAGCAGAACTCAAGGCCTCAAGTGGTTATCCGGCGGTGCTCAGGGCCTCAATTGATAGAATGGCGGAACTCAGGGCCTCAATTGGTGGTATGGCGGAACTCTGGGCCTTAGGTGATGGTCAAGCCAGACTCAGGGCCTCAAGTGGTGGTCATGCGGAACTCAGGGCCTCAGGTGGTGGTCCGACAGAAGTTCGAGCCTGAGGTGGTGGTCCAGTGGAACGCATGGCCTCAGGTGGCGATCCGGCGAGACTCAAGGCCTAAGGCGGTGGTCCGAATGAACTCAGGGCCTCAAGTGATGGTCCGATGAGACTCATGGCCTCAAGTGGTGGTTCGGTGGATCTCAGGACCTCAAGTGGTAGTCCGGCGGAACTTCGGGCGATGATCGAGGAGGCAAGGAGACAAGAGCGATCTTCGATCTCTCTCTTGAATCCTTTGGTTTAGGGGTTCTCTTTCAAGAGGAAAGGGGATTCTATTTATAGATTTCTTGGAGTGGCATGGCCTATAAATAGGTGGAAGATCAAGGGCAAATGGCAAGTGGTTTGGATGGACGACCAATGTTGAATCCCTTGATCATGGATCATTTGTTAAACATTTGAAGGTCTTAATGATGTTGAAATTTGGCAATCTTGGGCTTGTTGGATTTGTTCTGTCGAGCCGCTTGATTCGATTATAAGCATGTCATGTTTGAAAACTGTTTAGTCATCCAAATTGTGGTTTAAACCTTCCAACTGTGCTTTGGGTCCTCGATTCGAACCCATTCGAGCTAGGATTGAGTCAAATTTTATGTCGTTAGGTTCGTATTTCTGAGACGTTCAGTTTGAGTATAAGTGTACTGAAATCAGAGTTCGAATGGTCCTAATTTTAATTATAAATGTTTTCAACTTGATTTTGCCTCGAAATTCATGCCCGATCAAGATAATTTTTTTGAATACGTATTAGTATCCCACCTATTTATGGATGTCGATGTTTCAGAAGTCCAAAAATATGTATTATAGCTCCTAGGAAAATTTTTACGCAGTTCAAAAATTTGGAAATAGTCTAATTTTTGGCATAGAGGTTCCGAACGACTTTAAAGGTATCAAAATTGAGTCGAGAATGTCGAAAAATGATCTAAAGGACCCCAAAAATATTAAATTTGACCCTTCTAAGGTCAAAAATGGGTCTGAAAATATGCACGGACGTACTAGCTACCATAGATCGTTGTTGGTCGCCGCCGCTGATATATATATATATCTTTTTTTTTCTTCATAACTATCCTAAAATATCCTCCCTATTATAAATATACCCCTAAGGGGTATAAAACTTTGCCCCTCCTCCTTTCTCCTCTCTTCTTCATTTGAGACTTTCCCTTGGCCCTATACAGGTGGTATCCCCCATTCAGGCCCAGGGCCCCTCTCTGCAAAAAGGAGGTTCCTCCTTTTATTCCCTCTCTCCTCTTCATGATGAGGCATTCACCAATCCTATTCAGGTGGTATCCCCTGTGTAGGTCTAGGGCCCCTCACTAAGTAGGAACTTCCTCCTCCTTTTTCTTCTCTCCCTCATACTGAGACATTTCCTTAGTCCTATTTAGGTGGTATCCCTTATCTAGGTATAGGGACCCTAACTAAGTAGGAGTCTTCTCTTCCTTTTTTTGAGAGATCCCATGGAAGTCCAACATTAATAGATGGGAGTCTGGTAATGGATGAAATAAGTCTAGTGATGGGTGAAACTTTGGTATAGTATAGAAGTCTGGCGAGAGTTAGGGGATAGGAAAAATTTTGGTTTTTTGTAGAGGTCTGATAAGAAGTCCAGCGACAGGAAGAAGTCTGATGACTGGTAAAATTTTGACATTGGATATAAGTCTAATGAGAAGTCTGGCTACAGGAAGAAGTCCAATGACGGGTAAAAAATTGGCATCAGATAGAAGTCCAACGAGAAGTTCGGCAATGGGAAGAAGTCTGACTACAGGTGAAAATTTGACGAGAGTTTGACGATGGGAAAAAATTTAGCTTCAGGTAGAAGTCCGATGAGAAGTCCAGTGATGGGTAGAAGTCTGACAATGGGTAGAAATTTGGCATATGATAGAAGTCCGACGAGAAGTCCAACGATAGGTAGAAGTCTGACTACGAGTAGAATATCAACATCAGGTAGAAATTTAAAAAAAGTCCCGCAATGTGCAGAAGTCTAATGATGGGTAGAAATTCAGCGTCTAGTAGAATCCCAATAAAAGTCTGCTGATAGGTAGAAGTACATTGTTAGGTAGATGTCTTATAAAAGTCCATTGACAAGTAGTGGAGCGTAAGTTATTAGAATCCTCTAAAGATATATGAAATATCCGAGATTGTATGTCAGAGCATTATTCACTTATGTGAAAGAGGTCGAGAGAATATATAATTGATGTGTGACCTATATAAGATTGTATGTCAGAGCGCTGCTCAATGATATTAACTTGTGTGGAAGAGGTCGAGAGAATTCACCAAGGATATATGATATATCCAATGTTGTATGTTAGAGCGTTGCTTGATAATGTTAACATGTGAGGAAGAGGTTGAGAGAATCTACAAAGGTCATATGACCTATCCGAGATTTTATGTCAGAGTATTGCTCGATAATGTTAACCTATAGGGAAGAGGTTCAGAGAATCCATCAAGGATGTGTGACCTATTCAGGTTGTATGTCAGAAAGCTGCTCAATGATGTTAACCTGTGTAGAAGAGATTGAGAAAATCTACCAATGATTTGTTACCTATATGATGTTATATGTTAGCGCACTGCTAGATGACGTTAACCTGTGTGGAAGAAGTCGAGAGAATCCACCAAGGATGTATGACCTATCTGAGGTTTTATGTTAGAGTATTACTCGATAATGTTAACCTATAGGGAAGTGGTCAAGAGAATCCACCAAGGATATATATGTGCTATCCAAGGTTGTATGTCAGAGCATTGCACGGTGATGTTAACTTCTAGGGAAGATGTCGAGAGAATCCACCAATGATATATAACTTATGCGAGATTATATGTCAGAGCATTATTTAATGATGTTAACATGTGGGGAAGAGGTCGAGAGAATTCATGAAGGATGTGTGTCCTATCAGAGGTTGTATGTAAGAGCATTGTGTGATGCCCCAGATATCAATAGTGAAAGGATTCGTCGACAGTCTTGATCAATCTCCATTCCTGCTTCCTTGCTCGGACCTGAAAATTTTCAACCACATATAATGAGCTTAAATAGCCCAGCAGGTCACCAAAGCCTAAAACTGAAATCAAAGCACGGCGATGCTATCAATATGCATGTCAGTCAATCAAATCCATATCAGTCAATGGTCAATGAGTCTATGCAATACAGAAATCCATAGTCAATGAAATCAATAATCGATGCAGCGATAGAAGAATCGATAAATCAAACTCAATAAATCAATACGTCAATAATCAATACAGAGGTAAAAACATCGATAAATCAATACGCCCCAGCAATCAAATCAGTAAGTGCTTCCAGTCGATATCTATCCATCGTAGCAGTATCTATCAATCAATACTATCGGTTCAATCAATCGTGTCATATAGTCAATTCGTTGTATCTATATCATCTATCAAATCAATAGAATGTCTATGTCAATTAATAGCAATCAATAGCGTCAATTAATTCAATAAGGGACTCGTGTCAGAACGTACTCTTGCAAATCAGTCAATTCAATTATTCAATATGATTTACTCGATATTAATATACAGTATTCAATGACACTACGACAGATTCAATAATGACGACGTACGATGCTACAATAGGGAAATCATCTCAATCAATAGAGCACTTTCCAGTCAATATTATCTAGCAGCAGGGAAATCCATAAAACAATCGAATCAACTCAATAAATCACCTAGCAATGAAAACAAATATATATAATGAAATCATCAGGTCAATTGAAATCAATACAATCAGCTCCATAAAGAAATCTATTCTACGATAAATCAATCAGTCTAATACTATCAAGTCGATAAAATCAATCGGAAAAGCAATTACGATAAATCTCAATCTATCATATCAATAAATCAA